GAGGCGGAAGGACCGCCGGAGCCCAGCAGGTCGAGGCTGCGGTGGCCGGGAGCGGCCACTACACTCTAGTCTGGGCAACAGAGTGAGACTCCCACTCGAAAAAGAAAGAATGGGAACTAGGGTCAGGGGCGGGTACACAAGGGTCTGGGCTCCTTGAGACGGGGGACTAGGGCCAGGAGTGGGGGAGACAGGAGTCAGGGCTTCACGGGTCATGGGAACCTGGGCCCAGGGGCGGGGAGACGGGGTCTGGGCTCTGTGAGATGGGGGGACTAGGGCCGGGGGTTGGGGAGATGGCATCTGGGCTCCATGAGTCGGGCCCTAGGGCCAGGGGCCCAGGCTCTGGGGTGCCAGTGGCCGTGAGGGCCTGTGTTTCTGCCCATCTGTCTGTCCGCACCACTGTTCACTGGCCCCTCAGACAGTGCTGAGCCCCGGGCAGATGCCGAGGCAGATGGAGACAAATAAGTCTCGGGGCCTGTTTCTCCAGGAGGCGTCAGGGATGAGCTGCGGGCACAGACCCATGTAGACAGCGGTGGGTGTCCCTGGGGAGTCGCGGTCTCAGGAGGGACAGGGCCAGGCCTGGGAGCTCAGGGAAGGCTTCCTGGAGGAGGCAGCCCTCAGACCTGCAGGGAAGGCCCTGGGCTGAGAAGGAAGCTTTGCAGGCTGGCTCCGTCCTCTCCCCTCCCACTGCCCGTTGTCCCTGTTGGTGACCCGGTGCTTCCGGCATCCATCTCAAAAGCGGCCCAGAAGCCCACAGGCTGCTGCCTCTACCCGTGGCCTCCATTCTCTGCCTCCTTCTCTGTAAGACCTTGTGGCTCCCAGAATCCTGTTTTCTGTTTCCAGAAGTTTTTTTTGTCGGGGTTTCACTCTGTCACCCAGGCTAGAGTGAAGCGGCACAATCACGGCTCACTGCAGCCTCGGACATTCTGGACTCGGGTGATCCTCCTGCCTCAACCTCCCAAGTAGCTGGGACTACAGGTGTGCCCACCCTGCCCGGCTAACTTTTTGAGGTCTTGTTACATGTCTCAATCGAGACTTCGTGGCATCAGCAAGCCCCAGGGCTCCATCCCGGGCCGCCCCCCTCACCCTCCCTCTTCCTCTGAGTGATCTCCAGGCTCGCTGTGACCCCAATGTGTCATCTCCAACCTGGTGGTGACTTCCCCGAGCGCTGCACACAGGAGCCCGTGGGCGCCTCAAACTTCTCGTGTCTGAAAGCGTCTCTTGAGGCCCCAGCCTGCCTGGATTTTCCTCCCACCATTCAGGAATTCGTTACAAAAGCCCCGGCACCAGGTGTGGTGGCTCACACCAGCAATCCCAGCACTTTGGAAGGCCGAGGCTGGAGGATCGTTTGAGGCCAGGAGCTCACGACTAGTCTGGAAGACATAGCGAGACTTCATCTGTACAAAAAAATTAGCTGGGTGTGGTGGTGCGTGCCTGCAGTCCCAGCTACATTAAGAGGATGAGATGGAAGGATCATCTGAACCCAGCGGGTCGAGGCTAAGGTGGCCATCAGCGTGCCACTGCACTCCAGCCTGGGCCACAGAGTGAGACCGCAACTCAAAAAAAAAAGCCCCACACGGATCTGCCCTCAAACAGATATCTCAAATCACCCATTCTCTGTGTCCTCATCTGTCCTGGTCGGAGCCGCAGACATATCTGTGGGGTCGCTGCAGCCTCTTCCTCCTGGGCTCCTCGCCTTTCTTGGCCTCCTCAGTCTGGGAGTAGACATTGCAAAGGCGCCTGGGAGCCCGTCATTCCGGCTGAAGGGCTTCTGCGGCAGCCTGGGGCCCCCCTGCCCACAGCTCTCAGGCCCTGGGCACCCTCTCTCACTGCTCGCCCCCTTCCTCCCGCGTGGCCTCCTGTGTGGCCCTTCCACGTCCTGCCCCTTCCCCTCCTGCGGGCTTCGTTGTTGACACTTCTCCTGCTGCCTTTTTTTTGAGTCGAGTCGGGGTCTCTGTTGTCCACCAGGCTGGATGGTGGTGGCACGATCACGGCTCACCACAGCCTCGAACCCCTGGGCTGAAGCTGTCCTCCTACCTCAGCCTCTGAGTAGCTGGGACTCCAGGTGTGCATCCCCGCACCCTGCTGTATTGTTTTTGGTGGGGACGAGGTCTCGCTATGTTGCCCAGGGTGGCCTCACATTCCTCGGCTCAATCCATCCTCCTGCCTAGGCCTCCCAACGGGCTGGGATTATAGACCTGAGCTGTCACGCACAGCCAGCCTATCACCTGTTAAAGACATTTTTTTTTTTTTTGAGTTGGAGTCTCACTCTGTCATGACTTGCTGGGCTCCGGCGATCCTTCCGCCTCAGCCTTCCGAGTAGCCGGAATTACAGGCATGCGCTACCATGCCTGGCTGGTTTTTGATTTATTGTAGAGCTGAGGTCTCGCTGCCCAGGCAGGTCTCGAACTCACGGGCTCAAGCAATCCACTCACCTCAGCCTCCCAAAGGCGCGGGATTACAGGCTGAGCCACTGAGTCCGGCTGACATTTTTTTTTTAGTTAGAGTCTCACTATGTCGCCCGGGCTGGAGTGCTGTGGCATGCTCACAGGCACTGCAGCCTTGACCTGCTGGGCTCCGGTGATCCTTCCGCTTCAGCCTTCCAAGTAGCTGGACCTACAGGCGTGTGCTACCATACCCAGCTAATTTTTTATTTATCGTAGAGACAAGGTCTCACCAAGTTGCCTGGGTGGGTCTCGAACCTGCGGGATCAGGCATTCCACTTGCCTTAGCCTCCCAAAGTGCTGGGATTACAGGCTGAGCCACTGAGCCTGGCCTAAAGACATTTAAAAAATATTTAAAAGGCTTTTTATTCTGCTCACCTACTGTTTTCTTTTTTCTTTCTTTTTTTTTTTTTGCGTTGGAGTCTCACTTTGTGACCCAGGCTAGAGTGCAGTGACACACTCATGGCCACCGTAGCCTCAACCTGCTGGGCTCTGGCAATCCTTCCACCTTAACCTTTCAAGTAGCTGAAGCTACAGGCACGCTCCACCATGCCATCTAATTTTTTGATTTATTGTAGAGATGAGGTCTCGCCAAGTTGCTCAACCTGGTCTCAAACTCATGAGCTGAGACAGTCCTCTTACCTCAGCCTCCCAAAGTGCTAGGATTATAGGTGTGAGCCATCACGCCTGGCCACACCTACTATTTTCTGAGCTCTTTATTCCTGTGTGTTTTCCCACTGGTAGTGTTTTCTGCCTGCCTGCAGGACTTTAACATTTATTGTAGTGCGATCTGCAAGTGATCAACCCTTTCAGTTTTGCAGGTCTGTATCTGTATTTTGCCTTCAATTTTGAAAGACATTTTTACTGGTATAGAATTATTGGTTGACAGTTTTTTTTCTTTCAGTACTTTAAAAATGTTGCTTTGCAGTCTTCTGGCTTTCATTGTTTCCAGTGAGAAGTCTGCTGTCATTCTTTGTTTTTGTTTTTTTCTGACTGCATTCACATTTTTCTTCTTTCTTTTTTTCTTTTTTTTTTTTTTGAGTTGGAGGCTCACTCTGTCACCCAGACTGGAGTGCAGCAGCCAGTCCTGGTCACCGCAGCCTCGACCTGCTGGGCTCCAGCGATCCTTCCACCTCAGCCCTCCAAGTAGCCGGAATTATAGGCGCGCACTACCACGCCCGGCTAATTTTTTGATTTATTGTAGAAATGAGGTCTCGCCAAGTTGCCCAGGCAGGTCTCAAACCTGCGGGCTCAGGCAATCCACTCACCTCGGCCTCCCAAAGCGCGGGATTACAAGCTGAGCCACCGAGCCCAGCTTTTCTTACCTTTTCTATTCTTTCTTTTTTTTAATGCAAAAAATTTTTAAAATAACAATGGAAGCTATCAAAAATGAAACATAGAAAAGTAAGACTGAAAAATATGAACAGAGCATGCCACAGTGAACCGTAGGAGAATTTTGGTCCAATACTCATGTAATTTGAGTACCAAAAGGGAGATAGAAAAATATTTGAAAAAGCGATAGCCCCAAATTTTCCAAATGTAATAAAAATATACATTTACAGATTCAAGAAGCTCAGTGGAGGCCAGGCTTGGTGGCTCAGCCTGTCATCCCAGCACTTTGGGAGGCCGAGGCAAAGGGATTGCCTGCACCCATGGGTTCGAGACCCACCTGGGCAATTTGGTGAAACCTCATCTCTACAATAAATCAAAAATTAGCCAGGTGTGGTAGTGTGTGCCTGTAGTTCTGGCTGCTTGGACGACTGAGGCAGAAGGATCGCCTGAGTCCAGCAGGGTGAGGCTGGGTGACCGGGAGCATGCCACTGCCCTCCAGTCTGAGTGACGGAGTGGGACTCCAACTCAAAAAAAAAATAAAAGAAGAAAGAAAAGAAGCTCAGTGGAGCCCAAGTGTAAGAAACTGAAAGCAAACCAAGGAACATCATAAGGGATTTCAAACAGTGATAAAAAGAATAAAGTAGCTGAGTGTGGTGGCTCATGCCTGTGAACCTAAGTACTTTGGGAGGCTAACATGGGAAGATTTTTGAGGTCAGGAGTTTGATACCAGCCTAGGCAACATAGTGAATCCTTGAGTCTTCAAAAAATAAAAATAAAAAAATTAGGTGGGTGTGGTGGTGTGCACCTGTAGGCCCACCTACTTTGGGGGCTGAGGTGGAAGGATCTCCTGAGCCCAGGAGGTCGAGGCT